GGTCATCTTTTAAAAAAAGAAAAAAAAAAATAGTGGTAGGTGGGAGACTGAGCAGGGAAGACATTATGCCTGGGCCCCTGTAGGTCTGAATCCCACCAGTTGGACATCTCACATATCATTGGTCACCTTGCATGTGGAGCCTACTTGGCTCAGGGCTGCAGAAGGGATATGCTGTCACTGCAGGATGTGGGGTAGTGGCCACTGTTGTCCTTCAGCCTAGTGCTAGGCAGCGGTGTTGGCCACTTGGGAAGATATACAGAATCCTAGGTGTGTGGTGGCCTCAGTGACTGCTGTGCTGGCAAGGATGCTGGGGAGAGAGCAGCCTACCTTTGGAAGATTTGGTTCTAGTGAGGTTTAGAGGAAAAGGAGGACTATGATTTGCGGGCTTTCTCTAAATATCCAGATGGATCCCAGACATAATCCAGCATGGAAGATCTGATTTTGTTTGTCTTCCTCCCCATCTCTATAAAGAATTTTATCTTCAAAGCATGATGCAGGCATTAATTAACACTCACGGCCCTCCTGGGAGGTAGGCAAGTGGGAACACCACCCCCATGAATGAAGCCCAGGGAACAGAGAGGTGCCAAGGCCTCAGGTAGGTGAGCCATAGAGGAGCAGAGCGAGTCTTAGACCTGTGGCTCTGCCCTCCCACCTTAACTTAGACTTACCCGCTCACTTGGTGACCCTGGGAGCCACCTCACTTTCTCAGTGTCCTTGGATCCCAATAAGATAAAAGAGCTGAGGCTATGGTAGGAGAGATGTTTGGTGCTGTGGGATGAGTAATGGGAAACCCGAGGGTTAGGGAGAAATCCTGGTGGAATTTACCATCATCATGAATTTTAGATGCAAGTCTGATTATGCCATTGACTTCATTTCCTTGTTTTTTCTTTAAAAAAAAGAAAATGTACTGAGCATCAGCTACTGGGCAAGGTATTACAAAGGGAATCACATCTCCCAAAAGAGCCGGCACCATCAGGGATCCTGCAGATTGGGAAGTTAATCCTTGCTATCCCATGCTCAGTCCCTAGGCAGAGGCTGTTGTGGGGTGTGCTGCCTTTGCAGGTGGTGGCTTCAAGAGCTGGACTCCCGGCATCTGGAAATGGATGAGAATTCCATATGTGACTGTTGGATGTAATGAATTTCTAGAGGCTGATGTTCTCCTTCTCCTTCAGCCATTCACCTTTGTTGGCTCAGGAGAAGGGCATCCCTTAAGGGTCCTCTCCCTGGGGCTGTAGGTTGCACATCTTCAAGCCTGGCCTTTTCTATGCCTGCTTGGGAATGATGATGCCAGTTTGCTGGGTGTCTGTGGAGGATACCTGGGTAACTCCTGGAAGTGCTGAGTTGATACTGAACCTCCAACTCTAGAAAAGCAGCAAGACTTGAGTGTCCAATGGCTTTTTTGTCATTCATCAAGCATTTTGGGCATAGTACAAGAAACAGAAGGGGGTCATTTTAGCCTGTAAGTGTTGCCCTCTCTCTGGGTGGCAGTTGGACTGTACTTGCTTTGTAGGAAGCCCTGCTCCATCAGCTAATGATATTCACCTTATCTTGGTGCTGCAGGCTGCTGAGAACCAGCCCTAGACCTCTGCTTGAGGGTTCTTCCTCTGAAGACATCACCAGTGTGTGGAGCCTGCCCCACACCCACCCCCTGCCAAACCACGGCCTTTACCTGTGTCTTCCGGTGTTTCCCGTGCGACCCATCCTGTGGGAGTGCCTCGTGGGCTGCCCCGGAGTTCGCCCCACACTCAGCGGCACCAATGGTGAAGATGACAAGATCGAAGACTTTCCAGGCATATCTGCCTTCCTGCCACCGGACCTACAGCTGCATTCACTGCAGAGCTCACTTGGCAAATCATGATGAACTAATTTCTAAGGTACATGTTTCCTGCAGGTCTTCCTTGCCTACCCAGGGGGAGGGCACCAACTGTTTCTAAAGTTGCAGAGGTTTACAAGCTCTCCCCAATAGACTGGGACATTTGTACTCCATCTTTTGTACACTACATGACTACATCACTCGACTGACAACTCCAAGTCGGAGGGACAGGGTAGTAGTTTAATTTGTTATTTTGGAAATTAGATGTCATCCCTCTTGGAGGCTTTGGGAGCTGGCAGCTTGCAGGCCAAAGAAGGGAGGGGCTCAGGGGTGATTAGAGCCTGATGCTTGGCTTGCTCAGTTTAGGTTGGCAGTGAAGAGCTGTGAAGAGCGCTGCCTGCTTGGAGAGTGAATTCTAAGAAAGGGGTGTGTTGGGGGAGGGGTCTTGTAGAGGGGTTCATTAACTGAGATGCGAGCCCCCAGCCAGCCCCTGGGAAAGTTGTGAGACTGTGGCTTTATTAAAATGGGTGGCCTTTGTGGAGGACCAAAACTGGCCTGTTTCAGAGCTGACCCACTGGCCTGTGGGGACCTTGAGGGCTTGCACATGAGGTAATGTGGAGTGACATTTGGTCATAATTAGAAGAAAGAATGGAACCTTATTTTTCCTGAGGAGACCTGGCAACTGCTTTCATAAGTTGGGGCTGGGGTTATTAATAAATATGCCCAACATCCTGGTCGTGCAGTCCAGGAACTGGATCCTTCAGGCAGTGTTCTCAGGAGAGCTACCTTCTTCCTGGCCCTAGAATCCCAGAGGAGGAGAAACAGGTTTTACTAGGCTGCATGACAAAGAGAAAGAGACCATGAGGTACTTTTTCCTTAAAAAGCATCTTTTCTGAGAACCTGGACTTCATGCCGTTAAAGTAAAACAAACAAATTTTTATGCAGATACAGACTGTTTATTTATGTGGCTGGTCTATATGGGGATCTGAACCCTTGACCTTGGTGTTATAACATTGCTCTCTAATCAACTGAGCTAACTGGCCAGCTACCCCATTCCCCGCTTTTTTTTTTTTTTTTTAAATCTATTCCTGATTTATTTACACGAACTGCTGGAAAAGGTGGCATTGCTTTCTTTGTCTCTTGTTTGGTAGGCCCGGCCAGAGGGATGAAGGATCCAGTCAATAGTTACAGAACAGTCCTGTCCAGCTGGCTGATGTGACATAGGAGAGAAAGAAGCCTGACCAAACCACCACGTCTGTGGTAGTGGGGATTCTCAAGTCAGGCCTGAGGACTGAACCTCTCATTCTAGGCCTATTCCAGGGTCTACGGTTACCACAGAGCTTGAAGCTTTGAGACCTCAGTCCTGTCCTCTGGCCAGACTTTCACTCTGCCCCACTTTCCCTTCTCTACAGTTCTGCTAATCACTCTCCTTTATGCTGTTTTTCATCCAGCCTTTAGCTTCCTTCTCTATCAGCTAATCCATCTTGTCTCAGATTCCCTTTGACTTTGGGGGGAACCTCTTGAGTCTAGAAGTTTGGGTACAGGATGGTTGTGCCAGTGAGAGAAGAGAAGAGTCAGTCCCCTGGACATTGGAAGCGGGCTTGCCAGCTTGGAGGGGAAATGTGAGTCCTTTTTATGGAAATCTCCAGAGAAAGTGCCTGTGTCTAGTGGGGAAGGCAAGGATCATTTTAATAGAAGGAAGAAGTGCACTGAGGAACCAATAAAGTATGTTAACACCACCTATGTACTAAAAACTGCTACTGGACACTTTGTGTTATCTCACTTAACCCTCATAAGAAATCTTTGAGGTAGGTGATGCTAGTCATATTTTGTATGGTTGGAGAAGTTGAGACTCATAAAAGTTGTCCAATATCTCAAATCAGGTTTGGAGAAGAGAGAGTGACTACTTTGAGTGGGTGATCAGGAAGAATTTCTGAAAGAGGTGCTTATTTGAGCCAGGCCTCGTAAGGTGGACGGAAGTTAAATGTGTGGCAATGGTAATGGCCTTTAAAGTTTATGTCTCTGGTCTGGTATACAGGACCTTTGATCTGGCAAAGCTGAGCTTTGAGTTAGATCTCCTGCCAGTTCCTTACTTTGTTTCAGCCACTCAGAACTAAGCAACATTCCCTGAATGTGCAGGTTAGAGGTATTTCAGACCTCTGTGTCTCTGCCAAGAAGTCCCTCCTTCCTCCCTCGGGAGCTCTTACACATCCTTGGGCTGTGTCCTGTCAGTTTTCTGTCTCTGGATCAGACCTGACTCATGGCAAGAGCTCAATATGTGATCAAACAAATGGATGGATGGAGCTTGAGCCTTGGGAGAAGAAGGTAATGAGCAAACAAGACTTCGCTGGCCTCATGTCCTTTTCCTTGCGCCTTTTGGGGCAGAAAGTCTCATTCACAAGTCCAGGCCAAAGTCAGCACAGTTTTGGTTTCATTGGCTACAGCCGGTGCACAGATGGGGTGCATTAGAGCTTGATGATTTAGAGTTGGGTGAAATGCCTGGCTGTGGGGAAAGCGTGAGGGAACTGTGGCTGGCATTGCACAATGATTCCTTTATTTCACTGCACAGCCACCCCCAGCGTTAAATAATCTATAGATTCTTATGCAGGACCACTTAACAGAAAGATCATTGCCCCAGTCCCCTCTTTAGAAAATGGGCCTTTCTTTTCCTTTTTTTCCTCTCTTCCATTTAAGAAAGTTCAAGGAGAGAATGTCTCTCCTGTTCTCCCTCTTGACTTAATCTCCTATGCGGTTTCAGAATCTGTCCAGTGGGAGTTAGGAGCTGGGAAGCAGATAACTGGAAATGGAGCAGCAATGTAATTAAGTGATACTTTGTACTTGTAATAGAGCCTTTCATCTGAAAGCTTGACATTTGTTTGGCAAAAAATAAATAAGTGAGTCTGCCTTCATTATGGAGAAGGGGACACAGGTCCAGAGAAGTAAAGCTCTGAGTGTGTGGTCAGCAGAGAACTGGGAGCAGTACTGGATGTCAGGCTCCCTTCCTATCAGCATGGCTCAACCTCTCTGGAAATGTATAGTTGTAAAGTTTTAAACATTTAGTGGACTGGCCAGTTAGCTCAGCTGGTTAGAGCACTATGTTATAACACCAAGGTCAAGCGTGACTGCATATATATCCACACATTGGTCAGCTGCCCTCAAAAAACAACAAAACAAACATTTAGGGTCTGTATTAATAGGTTGGTGGAAAGAATCCTGCACTAGGCTTTCCACCTTCTCAGCTTGACCTAGATTCCTAGAGGCCTAGCTCCCTGTAATCAGCTAACTTCTGATCCTCAGTTTCTCACTTATAAAATGGGTAAAATAACATTTGCTCTGTTCTTAGTCATTAGAGCTACTATAACAAAATACTGCATAAACTGGGTAGCTTATAAACAACAGAAATTTTATTTCTCATGGTTCTGGAGACTGGGAAATCTAAGATCAAGATGCCGATAGATTTCTGTGTCTGCTGAGGGTCCACTTTCTTGTTCCTAGACAGCTCCTTACTGAAATCTCACATGGTGGAGAGGACGTGGGATGATCTCTCTTTGGCCTCTTTTATGAGGACACTAATCCCATTCATGAGGGCTCTCTCCTTAAGACCTAATCACCTCCCAAAGGCCCCACCTCCTAATATTATCATCTTGGGGGTGAGGGTTTCAACATATGAATTTGAGGGGGTGGGGGTGTGACGCAAACATTCAGACGACAGCAGATGGTGAGCAGCCAGCACACAGTGTATGTTACTACGTGCCATCCCTGTACAGTCCTATGGGAGTAGGGCATACCTTATTGTGGGGAAGGGCAGGTTTACCTCATAGGGTTGTTATGAGGCTGAGATGAGATCATGGATGTGTAGGTGGTTTGCAAATTACAAACCTCTATGCAAACATAGTTCATTTGCTTCTCTTGGCCTTACTGTCAAAAAAAAAAAAGGCAAGGGCGGTGGGTTGGAGAGTATTATTCCTGCCTGACACCAAGCAGATTTAGTTTAGCCAAGATTGTTTCCTTTTAGAGCCTGGAGCACAGGAGGTGGATATGAGGAAAGGGTGATAGAAAGCTAAGTGTGTCTGTAGAAAGGTAACACAGCATTTGCTCTGTAGGATGGTAGGGCGGGTAGGGGGAAAAACTCTTTGAACTGATGACAGAAGTATCGAGGGAATGTGCTGAGGCGTCCTACAATTTCTTTCTTAGGGGGTGTTGCGATCTAAATGCTGGAGTGTTTGCATGCAGAGGTATTTTGAGTTGGCACAAGGAATTGCTCACACTGTTGTTTCTTTTTCAATGGTGCAAGCCCCAGTATAAAAAATATAATTTGGTTATAAAATAATAATAGACTCAGTTGGAATAGTTAGTTGCCCTGAACGAGAATAATCTAAACACTCATTTCAATGGACACCATCTATTATGGAAACCTGGTTCTTCACAAAGCTTTTTTTTTCTTTCCTTTTTGTCTTTTTTCGTGTCCGGCAATGGATTGCAACCCTCAGTGTCGCGCCCGTACCGGACCGGGACCGGCAACGGGATCGCAACCCTTGGTGTCACACCCGCACCTCGCTCAGCCAGTGAGCGGGAACCGGTCTGTATGTGGGATCCGAACCCTCGGCGGGAGCGCCGCCACACTCCCAAGCGGCGCACTGTAGCAGTGCGCCACTGGGCCGGCCCAGTCACAAAGCTTTTGTATGAAAGTTTTCTGTCTGTGGTCCTTGCCTTGCCTCCCTCTTGCCACCCCCTTGATGGCATTTTGGAGTAGACCTTTTAGGAATGGTGAATTGGATTAATCTATCACAAACTCACTTTGGGGACTTATGACTTCTTTACAAGACACAGGTTGCTCTAATGCTCTGGGTCCTTGGAGGGAAAGGTGATGTAGTAGGCCGTAGAGTGGGTGTCCAGGGCAAGTGGAAGGAACAAATCATTTGTTCACCCTTTAAGTTATGTTATATCAGATCTTTAGGGCAGAAAATATTCTGGTGACAAATACGGAATTCCCAAAATTGCAGATCATCTAGTCCAAGTTCCTCTTCAGGAGGAAACAGTCCACGGGCGATTCTGTGACCA